ACCACTAGTACTACTGCTGCTGCTGCTGCTACTACTACTACTACTACTGCTACTACTGCTACTACTGCTACTACTGCTACTACTGCTACCACTGCTTCTACTGCTGCTACTGCTGCTACTGCTGCTACTGCTGCTAATGCTGCTACTGCTACTGCTACTACTGCTACTGCTGCGGCAACTGCTACTGCTACTGCTACTGCTAGTGCTACTACTGCTGCTGCTGCTGCTGAACTTCTGCTGCTACTATTCTTGCTGCCTACTATGTCGACGACGACGGCTGGTTCGACGATCACCACGAGTACAACGACGAGGAGTACGACGACGACCACAACTACTACTACCACTGCTACTGCCACTGTTATTGCTGCGGCTTCTACTACTGCTGCTGTATCCGCTACTTCCAATATGTGCCGACCACGACGGCTGCTACGATTGCCACTGGCTTTGCCGTCCTTAACTTCATGTTTCTGCTACAGGTCATCGGCCTTGGTGCTTTGGTGGTGGTGTTAGCTCTGTGGCGAAGCCGAGTGGGCGGCGACGGTCACTGTTACATTTTTGGCAACTACATAACTACCGAAATTTTGTGGCACCGCTTGTGCTGCCATACTGGTCGTGGCTGTTAGCAGAACAGTTTTCGAAGGTCACGAGTGTACTCCTCTTGTTTGTCATTAATCCTTGTCGTGCCACAGTCATACATCATACTGTAGTCATCGTGGTCGAGCACCGGTGAAGCTATTGACTCTTACTGATATTTGGTTTCTTTTCCTCTGATTGTTTGTCTCATGTCTGCCACCCACCATGACCACCGCCACCACCGCATCCGCCACTGCCACTACGATGACGATGATGATCATCATGGCCATCATTGTGTTGGCGCCGCACTGTTTTTTGGTTATTGCTGCTGCAGTTGATGATGGTGGTCATGATCATGATGATGGTGATGATGGCGATTGATGGTGAGGGTGATGTCGGTGTTGATGTTGCAGCAGCAGTTGCTTTTTTCATAACGATGATAATGTTGATGGGAATCCCGTATCAGGTTTGATGCGCAATTCGGACTGTACGCTACCATCACGAGCGAGTCCTGTCATTAGATCGGCGGAGAGCCCCTGGCGGAGTTGCAGACAGACCTTGTGGGCTGAGGTGGACTATCGGCGACGTGCGCTTGTTTACGTCTCCATCGTGCGGATCTCTGGTACACCGTGTCCGTGACCTGGACTGCGAGTAGCAGCAGATGGAACTGGAGGTACCTTCAATTCGCCGACTACTTTGCCAGCGGAATCTACACTCATCGCTGGGTGCACCCTGCTCACATGACCACAAACAGACCGCCTAAACCCTGAACCGTAGAATCTCGCAAGACCTGGTCAGGCGGACCAGCTGATCCTGCTCCGAGGTGCAGCACTGTTCGGCCCACGAGTTTGGAACCCATGCTGCCTTCTACTCTGATTGTTTTAGGGTTTAGGGTTTGTGTTCAGGGCTTGATCGGGCAGAGCTTGCTGAACTGGCTGGGTCTTTTCAGCTCGACTGCCTGCAGCAAAGTGTGCGCGTACCTGCAGCCGTGGACTGCCCCCGGCCTTGCCTCAATGTCGGAACTCTTCGCCGCGCCGTCGAGCAATGACGCAGGCCGGCCGTTGTCGGCAAAAGGGAAACTCTTCCAACTATGATAATATATGACTACTACTACTACTACTACTACTACTACTAGTACTACTACTACTACTACTACTACTATTACTACTACTACGACTACTGTTGTCGGTGCCTTGCGGATGGAAGCCAACTCAGCTTAGAGTAAGATGCAGTGAGATAAGATGATTAATGAATGGCTCCCAGCATCCGAAAGACGGCTTCTGAGCAACTGCAGTGCATATGACCAAGTGTGACGACACAGCGCCGCTTGGGTGCACCAGGTGGAGCTTGGGCAAGCTCGGGGGTGTCGGGCTCTGAGACCAAAGCCTCTTCTGGCCACGAGAAAGTCTCATGCAAAAGCTCTGCAAGCATCGGCCTTGGGTACTTAGAAGAACAGGTGAGGATGATCACAAAGACGACGTCGATACTGATGCGATCCTGCGCGTCCAAGAGTTGGTCGGGCGCAACGTCAAGCTCCTGCAGGCCTTGATCCCTGCGCGCTGCTGTGCGACAGCACCTGGACCTTCTGTTTTGCAGATCAAGTCAGCCGGACGCAGATGCAGGAGCTCATATCGGATGCCACCTCTGAGTCCTTCGCGGAAGGTGACGTGATTCTGCATGCTGGTGCCGCCGCCTTAGTACATGTGTGCTGATACCCAGCGCGAGAGCTCGCTCATCATTTTGGATTCAAGCAACGCCTCCTGCTGTTCGTACGAACCTGCCGGCAGCAGAGTACTTGGCAACGGTTAACGCATCGGTCTTTTCTATGCAATTCCTGCCGTTCCTGTGATTTCTTCATATTCGTGCTTGCACGGAGTCTTCTGAAGGAACAGGTCGAGAAGATGTACTTCCTTCGAAGTGGAGAGGCAAGCGTTCATGCTGCCTGTCTCTAATGTTAGCCGCGATCCTGGGCACGGAGACGCCCGCCGGCTTCTGAGGTGCTTTTGACTGTTCGTCGCGGTCGCCATTCACAGTTTACATGGTGTCAGGGCACTCCAGATACCAGAATTTGCTAGAAGCAGAACGAGGCCTCGAAGCCGGAAATCGCCTGGATTGTCGGGCTAAACCAGGCAGTTACATTGGACTCATTGGACTGAACATTGCCACAGTTCGACGTGGGCAGTTCTCTAAATTAGGGTTCCTTTTAGGATCCTTTTTTTAGAAGGGTGCCGTACTATATTGGGGACCCAAAAAGGGACCCCAATCTAGAGAACTACTTATGTAAATTGCTGGTAACCCGACCGGAACAGCCTCGCCTGAATTGTCCGAGTTGCGAGAGTTCAGACCCTCGACTTTTGCATTAGCTCCGGCTGCGCAGTGTATGTCGAGTTCTCTGTGCTTGTCGGGTTTTACTTTGTCTGTTGTTCGTTGAGTCGGTGAGAAGCCGAACTCGACAGTGTGACCTTCAAACAAGACTCCCACGAGCGCCCGAAACCAGAATCCATCCATCCACAAGCCCTAGAAACCCGAAGCCCCAAACCCAAAACCTGAAGCTTCACCTAAGAAAACCCGAAGCCCTACACCTCCCAAAGCTTCATGGTGCGCAAGGTTGACAACGTTCGGGTCGAACAGGTTCCGAGCGGGTCCATCTTGGGTCTCGCCGAGCTTTTCCTGCAAGACCTGTTCAGTTTCCCAGAGAACCCAATATCCCTTGATTAGGGGATATATCTTAAATTATAGGGTTCTTAATATTATGATTTAAGGTATATTCCTTAATTGCGGGGTATTGGGTTCTCTGGGTTTGGGGGATCCTTGTGGGCCCCTGTTGGGGCTCCTTTTACGGTTGAGTTCTATCTAGTGTTTATATAAGTCCAGAAGCATAAAATGCCTACACTTTAGGGGATTCCGGGGTTCTTAGCATAATGGCATTAAGGCTTCAGATTCTGGAAGTTGAGGTTCAGGTACGTTACAGTTACAGGGTTTAGGGCTCCGGAATCGTGAAGTAGAACATGTAGCAAGTGAGCGAGATCCTTAATGTGTCCTGATTCTCGAGGTCCGTTAGGCCCGGAACGAATTCCGTTTCTTGCTGCGTCTCAAGAAGGCTGGCTTTGTACCTTCGCGGCCAGAAGATCCCGGCTAGACTTGCCCACAGCCCTTGCTTATCTTCTATAAACCTCACAGCACCTCGAATAGCGCCCTTGTGCAAGATTCTTACATTTTATGATGAAAACCTGGTGGTGACTGCAACATGTCTTTAGACGTCTACGGAACCCTCAACAACACGGTTATCATGCTCTTCCGAGTTACCCTAAACCCAAGACCTCATGCTCTAAACCCTAAACCCCTTAACCCAAGACATCATGCTCTTCTTCAGTCGAGGCCATGTTCGAGAATCCGCAGCTTCCCGTGGAGATCCGGGCGGCTGGGCCATGCCAATGCCGGGTCATCTCCCGGATTGCAGCTCGGCTATCTCTCGAAGGTCGCCATATCGGCCGGGTGCTTCCAAAAAAATTTAGGGTTTGGGGTTTCGGGTTTCGTGGGCCCACGGTGGAATATGTCGTGCTCTTTGCACACTCCCGATGCGGCGGTGTCCGGAAAGCCTGCGATTCATCGTTCGGAACGATTTGCCGTCGTGCCCTGAAAATGCTCACAGCCGGCCAGACAAGGCGGGGAAGCATCATGGTAAAAGGCATTTCTAGAATGCTGTATCCCGTAATTACATGGGGGACCGCTCGGGGGGGGGGGGGGGGGGGTCCTGGTGGTGTCATGATGGCTCCTTTTTGTGCTGGTCGTGGTCGTCGTGTTCATGGTCGGCGCTGGAACAATAGGTTGTTCAAACAGGGGTTAAGCGCATTAGGATTTAGTGTCGAGGCCATGGGGTGTAAGTTAGGTTGAGGGCTGCAGTGTTTAGGGTTCCGGGTTCCAGGTACACTAGCCGTTTGGGTTTGGGGACTCTGAAAGGGATGCCAGCCCGCGTCCGTGCCAGAGAGATGGGTCACGGCGAAAGCCTGAAATAATTACTTTACAGGATGCTCAATCTGACAGCCAACACAAAGCCCTATCCCTGTACGACCCTTTGAAACCCTTCTAATTCACAAAAGATTCGATCATGATATCCCAGAAGTAAAGCCATTATGGAATCCGGTAAAGCCTTTAACACCCCATAAGGCTCCCTCAAGCTCCCTGCCCTGACCCAAGAACTTTCACGCGGCGCTGCAGAACTATCCCGAGGACGGCCGGCGTGTCGTTTAGGTCCCGGTGAGAGATCGTCGGGGTTTTAATGGCACGGGGCGGGCATGGCATCGAGACTCGCCGAAGGTTTTTGCGCAGCAATTGACGATGGACTCAGCTGCAGCACAGGCAACAGGGGAAAACCGAAATGCGCGGCACGTTCAGTGTCAGCAGATTGGCAGTATAAACGCAAGAAGGAGCAAGGACACAAGACCATCAGTTCAGAACGGACCGGGGCCTGCCCAAACAGCGACAATCAATCAGACCGCCGGACAAGGCCAGCAGCGAGTGGTGGCATTTTAGAGTTGCAGAGACGAATCAAAGGACATCGTAGCGTCGCAACACGTCGCGTACTAGTAACCATCACAACTTGCGCTACATATGCGAAAAACCGGGGTCGGCATGCAGCAAGTAGTCCCTCCAGCGCACAGGGTTGCACTGCTCCCCTTAGACCTGGTTATAGGACTCTGATACTGTTCTGTCGGTACCCGTAGCTTTGAGAACATGTATCTACCTAGCTTCGAGTGTCGTTGCAGTCCGCCTTGAATTCCTTGGGACTAGCGGACTATCGGAGGGCGTGTCGCAGAGATGTATCTAAACAGTATGCAAGAACAGGTAATTGTTACAGGTGCATGTGTGTGCGTGCGTGCGTGGCTTCGCGCGCGCGCGCGCGAGAGTGTGCGTGCCTTTGCTTGTGTTTCCAGATTGTCTGATCTGTTCGACTTGACATGAATGGACTTGGAGGATCGATCGTGGGAGCGACCACCCTTCTTGTTCGGGACTACACAGTTATGAGCGACTGCATCACAGACCCAAAGTAAAAACAGCAGGACTTCATTTATCCTTAAGACAAGGAGCCCCCAATCAAGGGAGAAAGCTGCAAATGGCTGCAGTTTGTTCCGAGCTGGTGCCCTTCTGGGCAGGACCTCCTCCACTTGCAACATGAGGGGAGCAGGATGCAGAAGCAGGCGCCTGGCATCTAACTCCCAATCTCTACAAGCCTCGTAAGCACGGGAAAGCCCTATAGGCCCAAGAACACTAGCAATCTACAGCATATGCCTCTCAGACTCTCAATCTGATCACACCCCCGTTCCCCCTACAACCCCATCAGCTCTCGCCGTTCGAAGCCCTGCAACACCAGCTTCTTGTAAGTTACTATGAAATATTGCACTATTACATTGTATTCTGTCACATTACCATATTATTATGATTATTATTATTACTATTATCATGATTATTATTATTGTTATTATTGTGATTATTGATATTATTATTATTTTTGTATTATATTTATAATTATTATCATACATAATCATTGTAAACCTCCATGAGTCTTGTCTTCAGCTTTACCACAGGATGGCGACAGATGGAAGCGACTCGGCGCCGTCCAGCGGACCAAGAAGAAGCTGAAGGCTCTGAACGAGTTCCGAAAAAAGAGAGCTTTGGGTTTAAGGTTTAGGGGTTTAGGGCTTAGGGTTTATTCGATCCTTTAGTAGCCACGAGTGCTGCTGGAGGGTTTGCTGTCTTGTGGAGTTTCCCGGCTGGTTGCGAGAGTCCTGGATGCAAAAGGGCTTAGGGTTTATTAGGGTTGATTAGGGTTTAGGGTTTCTGGAGGATTCAGGAGTGATGGGTCGTAGCGCTTAGATATTAACAGGGCTGAAGACTTGCTACGACTCGATTTCCCATGTCCTTGAGGTTTGTGTTCTACTCGTCATCATTCGTCATCAATATAGTGCTTACTGCTAAACCCTAAACCCAAAACCGTAAACCCTAAACGCTACTGGTAAGCCACCGAGAACCAGGCCATCGCCAGCATGCGAGCTGAGCGGGCATCGCAGAAAGCTGCCGAAGCTGACGATGAGGCCAGCTGCAGGGTCGGGGATACCGGCCAAGTTAGGGCCCAGTAGGGTTTAGAGTTTGGGTCTTGGGCCTTCGGAACAGATCTAACTCAGAAGCTGGCGTAGCTGAAGGTCGAGTTAGAGATGTATCCTCGCTCGTTGCTGTCGTGCGCCTAATGTACTGGCAATCCTCGATGTAGACCGTGGAAAGCATCACTGACAAGTGCGATCAGCGCTGATACACCGAGCAATCTGGATCGAATCAGATTGCTTAAAGCCGAGGTCCATCGACAGACGCAAAAAAACATGCAACTTACCAAAGCCCCTACTCGATCCGCACTTCCTAATTGATTAGCCCAAACCTGCAGGACGTTGAAACTAGGTTGTCGTCGGAGAATAACGGATGATGTATCTTCGCGATATGACCACATGTCGAATATGACGACGACGCAAGATGAAGAAGCATACTCGCTGGCATGTGAGCCAAATAGTGTTGGAGTATATGAGATATGCGACCACTGTGCTTTCGTTTAAGGTCGCACGATGGGTCACTTGTTTGATCAACGCCTTCGTTTGGCATGTAATTATACGTTCAGTTCTGATAGTACTATAGTGGGCAAGCCTCCGAACATGGACGTTTTTGTGGCTCAAGGTCATCAGAAAGACGGCCCAGGTGTGACGCTTGCAAGCGTGAGCGCTGGTCGAGGAAATACGCTGTCTAAACACGGTTCAACAGTACCTTATTAAGCCCGACAAGATTCCTTACATCCGTTATAAACCAGTACAAAAAATCCTCAAGCAAAAACGCATCAACCCTCTGAACAAGGCAGTCGCTCCGGTCCGGTCGTCGCGCGCGCTGCAGAAGTCTCCCAGAGATGAGGAGGAGGCCCCCAACAGTTGGGAATTATGGTTTATAGGGTTTGGGGCGTGGGAGGCTCATGTTATGGGCGTTATAGGGTTTGGGGATGTTTGGGGTTTATTGGGTTCAGCGTTTCCCAAACACCCAAGGTTCCAAGGCCCTTTAAGCTCAGCCAAGGCCCTAAATTCCCCAAAAGCCCTGCCAAACTGGGGAGGATCACTCGAGTTCGAGCCTGGACTTACCTCCGCAAGTTCCACGCCTCCATGGGGCCACCGCTAGCGCAGAGGGCGCGCAGAGCATGCCATTCCCGCCGAGCCTCCGGCCGCGGCAAGACGAGGAGCGCAGGGGAGACATGAAAGAAACTGGCTGGGTTTCATAAATGTGATAAGCATACATATATATATATATATTTTTTTTAAGGTGTATATATATATACACGGAACCACAGTTCATTTGGTAAGATTTCCTCAGTAATTATGATCTGGTGCATGGCCACGAGACGTCCAAGCTCTGACAGGCCAGGCGGAGGGCGAAGGTGCAGATGATCCGGGCGCAGCTGCAGCTGCGGGCGCGAGGCGAGGGGAAGTGCTAACTAGGTAAATATCTCCAGATCAGCGAGTGCTAGGTAGCTACGAAGCCCAAATGTAGCATAGCAGACCCTGAATATCCCGGGATCTTCCCATGGAATTGCAGCGACACAGAGAAGGTTAGCATGACAGCTGCGCAAGGATGACGCACAATGACGCACACACGCGCAGACACAAATCGAGAAGTGTGCCAAGAGTGTCCAACAGCCGTCAACCCTACGTAAACCTCAACCCTGCTTCTGCAAGTGCGACGGCCAGCTTTTCAAGATGGTCCAGAGTCGCCAATGAACCAGGAGCGATTCAGCCATCAGGGAAGCTCGGCAAGCTGAGCAGGCTACGGCCGGGCCCTTAAAGTCTGTAGGGATCTAGGTTCGTGTCGGGCTTAAATTCAGGTTTTATTGGTGCATGAATTTTACGGTCGGCCTTATTTGTTTCAAGACGATGGGAGCCCAGGTGCAACAAACAAAGGTTGCTTGTGGTACACGCCAATCGGCTTTCAGTTTCCTGCTTTCGCACTCAGAGCCAAATTTGTTGTTCTTGTGTCAGTTCCTGTAGTTGTCACATCATCCGACCTCACCGGCCTCCCTTGGGCTTCTCTGAGTTGTGAGCGCCGATCCCTAAAAAGCCTAAAGCCTATATAAACCCACTGTGGGGTAATCCCTGGGAGACTCCTTAAAGCTTTCCTTGGGAACTCGGCACTGTGGGACCTCCCCGGACAGCCGCGCCTTGGTTTTCTGAAGCGCAGGAGTGCTGAAGAGTTAACTGGAGTGCCTCTTTGACAACTCGTGGTTGATCTGTCCCAAGTGATGTGTTACACCATTTGGCAGTTCCGGACGTTTGGGATCGAGCCTACAATCTGCACGCGGTGCAACTTACACAGAAGCCACTGTCTTAAGTCATGCCTCTGGCCTTCGACATTTTGATACAGGCAGGCGCAGACTTCGGTCCCCTTGCCTCTGACCTTCTACACTTGATGAAAGCTGGTGGGGCTTCACTTCCGTTGCAGATGCAGACACAAGTTCACGACTCCCCAAGTCTGGATTGGATCAACGACAAACCTAATTCGTAAATTAAAAATTTGTAACTAACAATTCTGAGTTCGGATGATGCTGGTTGGTTTGCCATCGTGGAGAACAGCAGCTTGAACAGCGGGTAAGACCGGTCTTGATTGCAGTGATACTTTCCGTGAGGGTGGGTATCACTCCAGTCGAGACTGCAGAGTGAGAGATGGCAGAGCACAATCGCTGTCGCATCACGCTGTGTTCTGAGATCGGGGCATGACTTTCGGCTTCGAGCAATGCCTACTCTGAAGGAGGGACACAACTTTGCTAATTGGTCCACTGAGAGTGATCCCATGATGGACTCCCCTCCCCTGAACCGGTGTGCACAGTCAACATATCCGAACTTACCCGGCAATGCGGGCTCGTCCTGGCTAGGTGGGAGGGAAAACCCCACAGAAGGCTTCGGCTGATCTACACAAGGAGAAGGCTTCCGAGGCTGAGGCTGGCACACCTCATCGTTCAACGGCGGTGCTGACGGATGCCAAAATGAAGGACAATTGGTGGGCACGGGATCTTGAGGAACGGGACCTCCGTCAGGCCCTCCACCTCTGCACCCGCGAAGGCGAACAAGCCGGAAGCGCTTCCTGGGAGAAGAAGCCGGAAGCGTCTGCTCGGGCGAAAAAGCCGGGAGTGCCTCCTGGGGAGAGAAAGCCTGCAGTGTCTCCTGGGGAGAAGAAGCCGGACGTGCCTCCTGGGGAGAATCAGCCGGAACTGCCTCCTCGGGAGACGCACAAGAAGAGATCGGCGGACGAGGACATTAAGCCGAAGGGCAAGAAGGAGAACAAACATGCGAGGTGAGCGGAGAGCATTTTGCTCTGACTGGGGACACAGAGAGGAGTCGTAAGCCTTTGTACAATTCTGAATTCATAACACGTTTACACGGCGGTCAACGTGAGTTGTAACAACGACATACAGCTGTGGGCAGACGTAAGGATGCATCCAGTAAGACCCGAGACTATATTGAAACAGCTGAGCGAACCTGCGGAGCAACAGTTGAACACCTTCTAGCAGAATGAGCGGTTTGAAGACTATTGGATTACAGCTCACACTATCTGTTCTTGACCTCGAACACACTGTTGTTTGTTAACTTTCCTGTCATTAGCCATTACTGTAATCCGAATTGGTCTTCTACACTGCCATCGCAGTAGCAAGCTCGGACAGCTACCGCCATGCCTGCTTTGCGAGCGTGAGTCGAGTCGAAACCCTAACACTCTGAACCCTACACCGACAGAAACTCCCGAGGTGTGGGGATGATCCGGAGAAGCCAGCAGCTGCCAGCTGTTCTGGGTGGCATGGTTCAATTTGTCACAGTTCTTTGACTTGGGCTTCCATGTGAAATCCCCCAAACCAAGCCTCACTCTTAATTATAATAAGGACCCTACTCATAACAGGGTTCAGAGATGTGCATGTATCCGCATGCATATACACGCACGCACACACACACATACATACATATATATATATATATGTATAGAGATATATTATGTACACATACATACATACATACATACATACGTACGAACGTACATACACACACACGTGCAGATAGACAGCGACAGACAAACATACGGACAGAAAGACCGACAGGCAGGCAGGCAGACAGGCAGACAGACAGACCGACAGGCATACAATGTACATACACCCAAACATACATACATACATACATACATACATACACACATACACACATACACACATACACACATGCGCACACACACACACATTTTTGCTTTCACATAGATGTAAGTTGTTGTTTCTGTATGTGTTTGTATGTCTCTGTATGTATGCATATATTTGCATATATCCACGAGCTAATGAATGCATATGGATATGGCACACGAACATGTGCGCCAGCAAGTCTACACTTCATAGCTTTACATATGTGCGCTCAAACACGTCTGACAGAAAGAATGCCGGCACTAAAATTATCAGCATTGTCAACAGAGCAATAGCTACAGAGCTAAAGAAGCCATCCCTCATGCATACCTATTCATACATCAGCGTCTATCTACCACAGGTATCAGTAGTACTCTTCGGGTCAGATTCTTCCCACAATGGGCCTTTCGTGGTCCGAGGGGCCCCGTGCCCAAGCTCGAGGATGCCTTGCTGGGTAGGCCCATGCAACTGCAGGTCGGCAAAAGCATATTTTTTTTGTGTCCCTCTAAAGGGTTTTCTTCTATCTTTCAAAAAAAAACAACTAGTTGTGTGTTGCTTTTCTTGCTTTTGAGGGGCGTTCAGTGGCTTTTGGCTGTTTGTTCAGGGTTTTTGGTCGTTTAAAGGGCGATTGGGGTTTTGGGTGATCTGTTCAGGGTTTACCATTTTAGGCTTAATTTTGGCTGTCATCGTAGGGTTTTCGGGAAGACTTCGCATGTTGTGGCACTGGGCTTGGGGTGTACGGCTTGAGGGGTGTGGGCATTAGGGAAGTGTTGTTTGAAGCCTTCATCCCACGCACCACCAACTTCTCATAGAACCTTGCATGTCCGGACATTCTGTGGTGACATGGGTTTGTGCAGATCGTTAAACCTTCAATCCTATAGCCTAAATCCTAAACGCAGCCCTGCATTCTAAACCCTAAGCCCTACACCCTAAACTTGACAGGACACGGACTGCGACTCTCCCCGCTACGAGACCTTCGGATTTGTGGCTCGGATAATACATCGGCTTCGCTTGAACTTTTTCTCCTAAGCTCCTGAACCTTTCTGGGCCTTGAGGTTTCTAAACCCTAAAAGGCCCAAACCCGAAACCCTCTAGCTGCGAAGATTGGCAAATCTGCCTCAGATTGAAGTGCTCCCTGCTTCCGCCGAAAGTGTGACAGTAGTGAGGCATGCTTTTGTGTCTGCAGGTTTCCTGCGCGTGCGTTTCGGGAGAATTTCTTAGCATCCGATTGCCAGGACTTCGACGACGAGCTTTCGCCCCTTTCACCCCTTTCGCCCGTGTCTCCGGGATCCGACTCGCAGCAGCATTTGCCGGTCTGCCGAATGTGTTCGTGCACTTTTGCAGCTTTGGCCTTTCAGCAAAGCTTGATCTTTACCATGCAGGCGGAATGCTGTAGAGGTCACAGCCGTTCGTGCCAAACGGCGCGTATGGGCTGAAACATATCACTGCCAGAAAATGATGCCACGAGCGGCCTTCCAAGCGCATGCCTGCTTGCGTTGCTGAGGGGAGTTGTCATTGCCAAGCAGCCAAGGAGAAGTCGGGAAGCTTGTTTTGGCAGTTTGGCAGCATTGGCAAGCGCGGCAGCGTCTTGATGAATGGAGGGGATCAAGAAATCAAGATGCCAGCAGGGCATGATGCTGTGCATGCTATCCACCTTCTACGCTGATCGAAGCAAGTGGTCTGTTGTGCAAAGTTTGAGCCTGAAGCGCGCTCAAACGAGTACTAATGTCATCCCATATGTAGGATTCTTTATTATTATTATGATTGTTATTACTACTGTTATTACTATTATTGTACTTTCAATACACCTTAATTAGAGCCCAAAGCCGAAGTCTTGGCGACGAAGCCTGCACTGCAAAGCACGGAGGCAGATCTCAGAGCCGGACATGCCATCTCGAGGTGCAATTTAGGGTTAAGGGTTAAGGGTTTGGTTACAGTATCTGCAGTTCGAGTTTGCGGGCATCAGTGTCGAGTTCTTTCTTGAACGGTGGATTTTCGAGGCTTTCACTTCCGAGTTAATGCAATTGCACGATTCCGTCTTCAGAGAATATAGTAAGATCC